AGCAACTCGTGCTAAGGCTGGTGCTCATGTTTCAATGTTGGACAAGACCCCGCCTTCTCCTGGTGAACCAGTAGCAATCTTCATCAGCAAGCAGGAGTTTGAAGCCCAGCACTGAGCTTAAGTCGCAGAATGAATTGTTTACAGGAACTCTCGTGATATTTTTGTCATTTTCATGGACATATTAAACTGTTATATTAGCTTGCGGCTTCTGCAATACTGCAGTATTTGCGGAAAATGAACAAATTTGTTCTTCCCTGTAACAGAGTGATGATCTTGCAATACTCCCATTTTGTAGAATGTTTAAGCTACTTATTGTGTCACTTATTTGCAGTGCACTCGTTTTTAGTTAATAGCTAGTAACTTATTTGCATGAATTTTTTGGTCACAAATTTTAGCCTCTTCATTGTAAACATTCTGGAGACTTCCATGTTTATATGTGAACTAATACTTATTATCAGGGCTCCATCTCAATAAATCATTGCAAGGTTAAAGATTTTATCTGGTTGCTGCAAAAGTTGGTATATGGAAGAAGCCAGGTGGTTTGGATTTTTGAACAGTCCAATCCTATGTACCAACTTCCTGGCTGTTGGGCTACTTGGCAGTTGGCAGAGAGATCCATGTCACAATGCAAAAGCACCTGTACTTTGTAGGAATTTTATAGGATTTTCATGGATATTATTTGAATATCCATTTTCACGTGAATTAATTAATTTATATAGAAGTTTTCATGGTGCAGTTATAGTGTTTTGAGTTGTCCAAATATTGACAATTACTTGTGCAATGATTACTGATCATAACAAAGGTTTGTTTTCTGCAGGTCATGGTCGAGCTCGAGCAGCAGAATTGGTTAAGCAGAACCTTTTCACCAGTTTAATACTTACCTCAAGTTTTCCACTGATACCAAGTTTGCAGTTGCTATTATACTAATCTGTCTCAGAATCCGCCATTTCTGAAGCAAACTGATTCACCTAACATAATGTTTACACTTTGGATTTTTAATCATCTGAACATTCTCCTCCAGCTAAAACCTACACCAGCTGGGACCGAGAACTGAAAACTGAAAGTAGCCACAATTGAGATGTAGGGTTGACTGCATCCACAGCTATTCTTGTAGGCGATCATCTGCTCCTTGCAAATGTTGGAGATTCTTGGGCGGTGGATTAAATGTTGTATACCCATGCTGTGGTGACTGCCCTTCCTAGATATGGTTCAGACCATGTTCCTTTGTTGCTGGAGTGTGAGACTGAACTGTTCAAAGACCAGCAAGCGGTTGAGACTTTCGTTATTCCAAATTTACGAAGGGAAGGTTCCTTCATTTGTAGAGGAGATGGTAAGCTCAGAACATTTCTGATCGTGTTTTTACTCACTAATTGTCCAGTTGTTCAGCTTCATATCCTTCCTTTTCAGCGGATGTATTCTCCCCTGATCTGTATCATCAGAGTTCATATCTAAATTTCTGCAATCTGCTTCTCAAATGATTGCAATCTCAGTTTTGTAATCCAATTATAGATCAGTACTGACTGGGCATTGTTCATATTCTGATTCAGCTACAGCTGTGTCAAGACTCAAGAGACCACAAGCCTGATCAGTCGATGAGAGGCAGAGGATAGAGAATAGAGGATGCTGGAGATTTTGTCATGTGTGCTGGTATTTATCTCTTTGGTCTCTTCGTTCTGCTAACGTTACATATTCTTACAGCTGAACATTTTCTCCATCCTAGCTAGTAGAATGCTAGATCCCTTTCTTGCTCTACCCAAAACCATTCTTAACATCTATTCACCTCATCAGCCTGCTTGGGCGTTTTTGGGAATTGCTTATCTGAATCTGACTATGCTTCCTTGCTCACCATCTGGCCAGTACCGTCCTGAGCCATCTCACGGCAGAGGAGGTTGCAGGTCTTGTCGTGTGATTTGCAGCTCTAATTTTAAGGCTGAGCAAACAAGTCTTTGAAAAAGGGGTAATCAGATAGTTCCAGTTCCAGCACTGCAATATGCTCTAGCTCTGTTATTCATAACTTAGTGTGGTTAATCTTTATAATATTATGCACAAAAAAAGGCATAATTGGAACCCAAAAATAGTTCTCACTCATTTTTGTGGCTTATAGTTTCTCGCTGATTACCGTTCTGTTCGGCATGTCCGGTAAAATCTAGCTTGTATTGGTTTAAAGCTATTTTGCAACAGACGTTGTTCACATAGTTAAATTGAATTACATTATCTGATACCAATGTGTCTTGTGAATTTAAACCTGGGCTGCTGTCTGTGTTCAGCCTCCTGGAGCAGAACTGATTTTTGGGAGAGATGCATTTCTCTTCTTACTGCCTCCAATGTATATTTTTGTTTGGATTTTCTTTAGATTTGTGAGGGCTTCTTTTTCCTTTTGGTACTTCTCATGGCCAAGGATTTTGTACACAAATTGTTTCCTCATTTATAAGATTGTTAAACTCTCAGCGAAATCACTACACTTTCTATATTAGCTCCTGGATGCAACAGTTCACTTGGTTATAAAGCTTGCTTGGGAGAATCACCTTATCACTCAATTAATACTGATTATGCTTTTAAGAATTAATATGACCCGTAGTTCCTGAGTTAACATCCCCAATTTGGAATTTATCATTACGGTTAAGGTGGTTTTACCCATAAAATCTATGCTTCATACTGATGCACCATGTTTTTCTAATAATAAATTCAATTTTCCCTTGCAAACAAAACTCAGATATTTTCTATTTTTTCTAATAATATAACCGGTTTTCTCCTAGTTATCCCAGTGATATTGGTAGGTCTTTGCCACCGTCTGCATCAGCACGTGTTTTTTTTTCATTTCTCTGGTTTTGAATTATCCTGAATTCTTCACTGGAACTATTAATGCTTACTTCTATGCTACAGGCAGGGTTCACAATTCCGATGCCGGATCGAAATCCGCTCATGAGCGGTATTGTTGGATTTCGCGGAATCCATCGAAAAACGATGAAATCCGGATATTTTTTTGTCAAAAATTTAAAATTCAGTTTTTTTTGAACTATCGGAAAACCGAGTGATTTGTGTTTTTATCCAGTTCGAAAAGTTCGGATTTCGATTTCACTGGAATTGTGAATCCTGGGCTACAAGTGACTTGGTCTTACTGTTTCTCTTGCTAAGTCCTTTTCTTCTTCCTACTGTATTTTCCGTGACAACACACAGTAGATAGAACAAGTTAGACCTGTTGATGTTTGCAAGTATTTTTTTTTTGAACGCGCAAGAGCCTGCACATTGATATATTAGCGGGGCTTTTGCAACTGCGACTTGCTGACGCCTCCGTCCTAAAATGTAGCTATCTAGTACAGGACGCAACATTATCTAGTACTACGAATCTGGACAGGAGGCACAGGAGGTTGTCCAGATTCGTAGTACTAGGTAATGCCACTACCTATACTAGGTAGCTATATTTTGGGACGGATGTAGTAGGAGAAAAGTGGGTCCCAAAAACCAAGATGAAAAGCAAAGACAGGCTAGAGTCTAAATGCCAAGAACTCCCAGGTTACTAGAGTCACTAGACTTAGCTAAAACCAATTTAGGGCTCCTTTGAAACAAATAAAAACCAAAGGAATTTTAGAGAATTGGATTCCCACGGAAAAATTTCCTGTAGTCCTTTAAAAAAAGGAATAGGTCTTCCAAATTCCTATGGAATAGGCTATTCCATAGTAATTTTAGAGGAAAATTAGCATGAGGTTCCCCCTCATGTTTTCTGGTTCATAGGGCAGTTCCTGGTATTTTTGATGTGTCATCCAAACAATAGTTTTGAAACTTTTTCATGTTTTTAGTTGAGTAAAGTGCATTGGCGGTCCTTAAACTTGTAGGATTGTGTCATATAGGTCCCTAAACTCTCAAAATGCATATCCAGGTCCTAGAACTTGTCAAAGTGTATCATCTAAGTCCCAAATTGACACATCCCCTCTAGTATCCTACGTGGCGTTGATGTGGCAATGCCACATGGACGTAATGTGTCCTTTTCTTTTTTTTTTCTTCTTCTTTTCTTTTTCGGTTTCTTCTCATACTTCTTTTTTTCCTTTTTTCTGCACGGGTCACATAGAAAGGAGAAGAAAGGGGAAAAAAGAGAAGAAAAAAAGAAAAAGGAAGAAACTTAAATGGGTCCCATTTATCAGTCAAAATAATGCCATGTCATGTCCATGTGGCATGCCACATCAACGCCACGTAAGATCTTGAAGGGGTTGTGTCGATTTAGGACATAGATGACACACTATGACAAATTCTGGGACTTGGATATGCATTTTGAGAGTTTAGGGACCTAGATGATATATCCCTACAAGTTTAAGGACCGCCTGTACACTTTACTTTTGTGAATTCTTATATATGAATTTAAATGGCATCACATTTTAATCCTGTATTTTATTCTCTCTTTTTGTATTGCCATGTTTTCATATTCTTGTGTTCCAAAGGAGCCTCGAATGAATTTTATAGGATTTTCAAACTAAAATTAGTTTAACATCCATTTTCATATGAATTAGTTAATTCTATAAAATTCCTCTATTTGAAATAAGGTCCAATAAACTTAGTATCCCCTCCATCCCAAAATAACTCTGTAAAGACTAAATCTTTCAAGCAATCTTTGTATTAGAGTTTGTGAAAGTGAGGGATAAATGAATTGAGGTTTGTTAAAGTGAGGGACATACACATTGAGGTTTGTTAAAGTGATGACAATTACATTGGAAGTTTGCTAAAGTGAAAGGTATTTTCGTTTTTCCCCCTTTCAATTGGTATATGTCATATGGGATACAAATAAAGTATTTTTGTACGGAGGTAGCACTACTGTACATTAAAATAATTCATGATGACAAACTTATATACAAGACACACTAGCATACATCGCCTTAACTGAGCGAGTGCTTGGCTGAGCCTTTTTCTGCACTGGTTTGGCTAGTTGCGACGCTAAAAAATACCCTAGATGTACTCTGGAATTCTACATCTTACAATTCAAAGTGAAAAGTGCTCCAAAGCTGAAACCGTCAACACTCTCGAAGATCAACCACATTATGAAGCGATATGGTAGAGTCCCACTTGACATGGGAGCACTCTTCATAAGTTGTCCTGTCATGTGGATGGAATCCTCTGTCGTCGCAATCGCCAATTTCATCCATACCATCTGGGACAGTTAGATGAAATATATTTTGTTCTCTATTTTGGCAGAAACACGAAACCATCAGACTATATGAACTATGGATAATTTACAGCAATAACAAGATTGCCCGCGATGAAAAAAAAATGAAAAAGGGAGTTATGAATAGAGAATTACCGTTTTGAAGGTGCCACAACTATCGCAAATGCTTCTCTGAGATCCTTCTGTTAAGCACAAAGAATCAAACATGTCAAAACACATGCCAATTAGAGAAACACAAGACAGACAATCAGTATACATTGAAATATTTGCTAAGCAACAATTTTTACTACATAATCTAAAGTACCATGAAGGTCAAGAAATTTGGAATGTAAAAATAAGTTGTAAAGGTACTATAGGATCAAGTTTTGCAATACTACCTGATTGGAGTAATGATTATGGAGATCAACAGAAGACATGAAGCACTCCTGTGTTGGATGTGTCTACAAAACAGTAACATCAAAATGTTGAGGATCTATTTTTTCTCTTAAACATGTAACAAAAGCAAAATCATTTGGGAAAACATTATATATTCATTAAAGTTAAAATAAGAGTTTTAAGGAACTAAAAACATTTAATACTTCATGAGATATACAATAAGTGTCATAACTGTCAATTGAAAATTAGCTTCTACAAGTTACTAAGACAACATAACAATGGTACCTCAGTGAAATTAAGAGTTTAAGAAGGTGTCAAATTTCTAGCTAAAACTGAACATACATGAATCCAACCCAGATGAGATGGTGAACCCAGTTGTTCGAAAATGTCAAGTATTTCTTCTTCATTTGTAGCCTCACGCTGCAAAATTAAACATGAAGTTACATATAGCTCACAAAAATCTTGAAGTGCTGCATATTTTGGCATTTTGCACTACAATAACAAGCATTAATTACATGAACATAAGAATGGATAATTTGAATAGCTTATTGTTGCAAAGTGTCATGCTCCTAAGTTTAGGGTTGTTTTTGTAGACTTACATAAAAGTTCAAGTTGTAAAATAGACACTTTCCAAAACAAAGTTAGAATCATAGAAACTACTTACCGAATAACTTGTTGATTCCTGCTTTGGAATTATCAAGTCCGTGGCAATAAAGTATTTAACATCCTAAATGGGAAAAAAATGTAACATTAGCGGTTTAGCACAAAGCTCACTGTTCACATTCCTATAGGAGAGAAATCACATACCATGTCCACTCGCAAGGTGCCAGCAATGATCCCACATGTTTCTAAACTTTTTGTAGTATTTTCCACAGCTTCGTTTAGAAAACGACTTATCAATTCTTCAGGCTAACAAGAAAGTAAACCATAAGTCAATTTTCAACAAGTGAATGAACTGTATTCAAGGATACAAACTCTGCATCAATGCCATGATTATTACGAGAGAGAGAGAGAGAGAGAGAGAGAGGGGGGGGGGGGGGTGCATTTTGAACTTACAACATACACCATTCGATAAGGGCTGCAATCAGAGATACCATGTCCCTGTGTTGAATGAAAGTACATTGAACTGATTTGTTTTGGTATACTCTCGACACGGGGAAACTCTTCTTCAGAACTAGATGAAAATTCATTTTCTTCTACCGATACAGAACATCTGCTATCATGGCTATTTGTGGGGCTATACTGAGATGTTGAACTATGGCCATCTAGGTCATCTTGGTTCAATTTAGCTGGCACTAAGCTGCAGAAGCAAAATGAATGCAATGTCAAGTGACTGAAAAAAAAACTAGTTTGTCTTCACTGTTATGAGCATGGACTAGCTTCCTTGCAGGTTGCTATTGTGTTTGATTTTCTCCACTAGTCAGGTAGCTCTCATCTTCAATTAGGAAAAACTAAACCCATTTCTCTGAATGTCTATCTCATTTTACTCTTTCCAATAAATATGATGTTGAAGCAACTAATATTTGATACTCCCTTCATTTTTTAATAGATGAAGTCGTTGACTTTTAAATACATGTTTGACCATTTATCTTATTTAAAAATTTTATACAAATGTATAAGATATAAATTATACTTAAAACACTTTGAGTGATAAAACAACTCACAACAAAATAAATTGTAATTACATAATTTTTTTAATAAGAAGAATGGTAAAACGTGTGACAAAAAGTCAATGACATCATCTATTAAAAACAGAGATAGTAGTAGAATCTCGGTAAACAACACGAGTAAAATACTTTTTGAGAAACAAACCAAATGAATAGTCAAAACAAAAGGAGAGAATGGTGGCATATGATCAGTATATAGTATTATTTAACAACAGTGAAGCACGATGCTATCCAGATTATTACCTAGAGATATCACTTTGTGTTAGTTTGAATGTATCAACAAATCAAGTAAAGTGGTTACTGTGATGATTTAAGTTGGCCAGTGTACATGTAAACTAGATTCTTTTAATTTTTTTCTTAAATTGATGGAGTGGAAATGTGAATTGCATATTTACACTCACAATCCCAATTCTATCCTTATAGAGAATGTATCAAATACTCAGAATCTTTCCTTAAATAAAGACAATGTATAAAATAGTCATAATATGATGAAGGACACACACATACTCTTTTAGAATCGGCGCGTCGGAGTGGATAATAGGCTCAACCTTTTGCAGTGACGACGTAGTACCACTTGCATCCAATGGCTGAAAAACAAAACAAACATAACAAAACACGTAAAACTGTAAAATCCAAGCAAAAACCAAAGGATCTGACACTACTGCATGCAAAAAAGGTTCATATTTAGCGATCATATCGGCTAATCATTGTTGAACCATCAGTGATCTTGGGCTGAATCAAATGCAGTGCCGTGTATATACTCCCTCCGGTTTTTAATAGATGGCGCCATTAAATTTTATACACATGTTTAACCATTCGTCTTATTTAAAAAAAATATGTAAATCATGCTGCAAATATTTTTAGTGATAAAATAACTCATAGCAAAATAAATGATAATTACATAATTTTTTTAATAAGACGAGTGGTCAAACATGTACTACAAATTAACGGCGTCATCTATACCTGAGGCTTATTTGAGCTTGTGGTGTGCTGAAATGTCCTAACAATTTCAGCATTATTTCCAGTTAGATTGAGAGGTTCCGTGGCACTGCCTATGTTGTCCTCCGTAGTCTTTTCTTGTTGGTTTCTTTGCTGTTGTTGCCGCTTCTGCTGCACAATTGGCTTCAGATACTCTAGCTCACCGATAACTTCCAACAGTGTCTACAGTGAGAAAGAAAACACAGGGACTTTTAAGACACAAGTGAAAAACAAATATAATCTGTGAAAGTAGGGTGCTATTTTGAATCAAGATAAGCCTAACATTTAAACAAATCAGTTCTAGACTACATTGTGAAACTGATGGAATTAAATATTGAATAACGGGGAGGAATCAATTATGTGGGACTACCTTCTCGATGAAGAACTTGACACTAGAGTTGTCGGTCCGGTAGTCAGGATGCTTCAGAATCGTGTGAAGGAGCAATCTGCAATATGTTATATATATTGATGTCAGATATATATATAACACTCGACTGAACACTCATGGGCTCATGGCACTGCTGAACAATATTGCCCCAACTAACCTCAAGAATCTTAGGAGGACAGCGTACAGGTTGACGTGGTTCTCCTTCTCCCGGTATACCCTAGCCTACGAAAATCACACCAGAGAGGTAATTAATAAGGCGATTTAACACAATCAGTCACTAGATTGTATACTATAATCCATGATAATCAAATCAACGACTGCTTATTAGTGAAAGGATTATATGCCCAATTCACCAATATATATGCACAGTAAAACATTAGAAAATCAGTCATGTATGATTTTTCTTTTCATGTAGTTGATAATAAAGTGTTTTTTTTATCTTGGACATACACTCATTTCATTCATGTTAACTAAACAATCATCAATTTGTTTTTTTTTAAAAAATGATAAGATAGATCAGTATGTGATATTTCACTCTGTATACAATTCAACTTATTATTTTTTCTATTGTTCAGGTCAAATTTATTTGTTAAATGATATATCACATATTGATTTACCTTATCAAACTTTTTAAAATATTTTTATAACTTTTTAATTGATGACATGCATAAAATAAATATATGTCCACTTAATTAAAAAAAAACTTTCTCATTATATTTGTTTCATATTATAAGTCGTTTTGATTTTTTTTAGTCAAACTTCTTTAAGTTCGACCAAAGTTTATAGAAAAATTTAGTAAGATATATAACATCAAATTAGTATCATTAAACCAATATTTAATATATTTTTATAATATATGTTTATTTTGTGTGAAAAACATTGATATATTTTTCCATAAACGTAAACAAACTTAAAAAGTTCAAAACAACTTCTAATATCAAACGTACAAGAAGTAAACATAGGGTTTCGAGGTGGTTAGAGACATGGTTCGACGACGATGACATACCTGGGTGAGGTGAGAGCATGCGAAGCGGTAGTAGACGTGGAGCCCGATGTGTTTCTTGACGCCGGCGACCGGCCGCGGCGCCGGCGCCTCGATGACGTCATCGCCATCGACCGGCCGTGCCGTCGACGATGTCCGGCTTGACGGCCGGCGGTGGCAGCGCACTGCCATACGCCTGGACGTCGTCGTTATGAATGGATCGCTTGGGCGCCGGCCAACGCCGCCGCCGAGGCGGCGCACCCGTGGCGGGAGGACCGCCGGAGGAGAGGACGACACCGAAGAGCTTCGTCGACGTCGACGTCGGCCTCACGCCGCCGCCGCCGCGTAGCGTTCCGCGGCCGTGGCCGGGAAGAGTCATGCTCGGGCGGGATGAGTAGTTGCGTTGAGATCGATCGATGGATGCTGGATACGATTAATCCGAATCAGATCCTGTCGGCGGCCGCGCGCGCGCGCCGGCGGCGGCTAATTTGGCTCCGCGTGGAGAGGAGCTCGTCGATCAGATCAACCACGTGTGGCTAATGTATTCTCTGCTGGCCGGAGGGGCGCACGGCGGCGGCGGCGGGAGATGACGGCGGGATGGAGGGATGGAATCACGAGACGGAAACGAACTCGCGCGACTCCCCCTGCGCGTTCGACCAGCGATCGTGCGGCTCACGGAAAAGAAGAAGGAAAAAAAAAAGCTGGTATATATTGGGCTATGTATAGACGTGGGCTTTCTCCGAAAACGTTTCGGCCCAGGACAAGCGGCCCAGTCCCAGAGCTGTCTCGTCGCAGCTGCAGAGTGCAGAACTGCAGACTGCAAAGCCACCTGCTTTGAGCAACGTTCAATGTTCAACTGGAGAATTTATTACTGGAAAATGGGCGCGCTGCTTACGCGCTTCTAATTTATAGCCCTTTTATCTCTACTGCACTATTATAAAAATTAAATATGTTTTGCAGGTGTTTTGATACGTTATCCGCGTATGAATCGGTTTTTAAGTTCATTCACTTTTGTTAACTAGCAAACATATCCGTGCGTTGCAACGGGTGAAAAAACGTAATAATAATATACGTTTTTCATCCATAACCATGTCGATGACAATCAGAAAATTGGAACATCTTAAATGTAAATGTAATGGCCCAACCTCGATGATGGCAACCTTACGATGTTTGCTTTACCTCTAATGGGATTATTCATATGACAACATGTATATAATCTAAAATAATCTTTTAGGGCCTGTTTGGTATAGCTATCTCCAACTCCTAAATTTAGCTCTAGGAGTTGGGTCTGGAGTGGAGTTGTGGAGCTGCCTAAACCTAGCTCCACAACTCTAATTCATTTCGTGAGAGAGCTCCACCTAGCTCCATTCCCAGTTTTGGTGGAGCTGAAACTGTTTGGCTGCACTCTAGCTCCAGGAGAGGTGGAGCTGGAGCTGGAGCTGTGCCAAACAGGCCCTTAATCTCATTCTTGCAACCAATCAAATCCTACATTACCTCGTATGGTCAAGTCTACACAAAATAGTCACTGTGCACTCTTCTCTAAATAACAATTAAAATATGTTTATTTTCTAATATTATTTCTATATAATTATATGTTATCAAGAATAATAGCTATACTTCATAAAAATAGTCTGATAATAGCCTACAAAGATGTGCAGGGTCTCCAATACATGAGAATAGATGACGAAACAAAAGTCGTGTAGGAGATGAAAAAAAAATCGATGGATCCTATTCAACCAAGTGTCCATCAATTTAGCGCATTTTTAACAGCTTTTTCCTCATATGCTTTTTTTTGCTTTTTTAACAGACGATGGAAATATTTTTTTCTCGTGTGTTTTCTTTACGAACTACGGAACTTTTTTTCTAGCGCGTTTTCTTTTGCGCTTTTTTCTGACATTTTTCCCTCACGTGTTTTTTTAAATCGTTTTTATTTTCTCGCGCATTTTTTCCTTTTTTAATATATGGTAGAAACTTCTTTTTTTTAATAGTTAGATTAGATTAAATTAGAGAAAAAGAAGATATATAAACGGACTACTAAAACGACGAATAGAAATTAGACTTTTTTCCTCCGCGCTTTTTTCCGTCCTTTTTATTTCTTTCTCGTGCATTTTTTTTACTAACCGGTTTTTTCACCACTTTCATATAGTGTCAAACCTTTCTAGATATAATAGGATTCGATTTTTTACTGCGTCACGTATAATTTCTTTTTCTTTGGAAACATATATTTTTCGCCCTTTTTTTATCGCGTCGACGGAGTCGGATTCGTTTTGATTTTTTTTCCTTTTTTTGCCTTTTTTTATTGGACAGATTTGTTTTTTTCGCTCAGTTTATTTCGTCCGATCGATTTTTTTTACCGCATCACATATAATTCCTTTTTCTTTGGAATTTTTTTCGCCCTTTTTTTACCGCGTCGACGGAGTCGGATTTGTTTCGATTTTTTTCCCTTTTTTGCCTTTTTTTTGGATTGGACAAATTTATTTTTTTCGCCCCTTTTTTATCGGACTTTTATCTTTTTTCGCCTGGTTTCTTCGCTCGGTTTTTTGATTTTTTTACCGCGTCACATATAATTCCTTTTTCTTTGGAATCGGACAGGTTTTTTCACCTTCTTTTACCGCGTCGATGGAATAATTCCTTTTTCTTTGGAATCGGACAGGTTTTTTCACCTTCTTTTACCGCGTCGATGGAGTCAGACTCTTTTCGATTTTTCCCTTTTTTGGATCAGACATATTTGTTTTTTTCGCACGGTTTTTTTTCTCACGTTTTTTCGGATCGGACTATTTTTTTCTTTTTTTCGTCCGGTCGATTTTTTTTACCGCGATACATATAATTCCTTTTTCTTTGGAATAAGACAGTTTTCTTTTTATTTTTTTCGCTCTTTTTTACCGCGTCGATGGAGTTGGATTCGTTTCGATTTTTCCCTTTTTTTGCCTTTTTTTTGATCGGACAGATTTGTTTTTTTCCGCCCGGTTTTTTTTCGCCCAGTTTTTTTATCGGACTTTTCTTTCTTTTGTTCGCTCGGTTTGTTTTCTCCCGGTTTTTTGACGGATGAGGGAAGCATCCAGAGAAGTGTGTTTTTTTTTTCTTTTCTCCAATGCAGATAGGATCTCTTCCAGGGAAATCAGATCTTTTTTCTCCAGGGAATCGGACTCTTTTTTTTTTTGTTTTTTCGCTTTTTTTTATTTATTAAACGGTTTGTTTCTCGGACTTTTTTCCCCTTTTTAAGGGATCGGGTGTTTTTTTTGCCAGGGGAATCGGACTTTTTTTTGTTTTTTCGCTTTCTTTTATTTAAACGGACGAAGGAAACATTTTTTATTTTTTAAATAGTAGAGATAGAGATAAAGATAGAGATAGAGAAGTAGAGATACAGAAGGAATCATATAAAAAATCTATTTAAAAAAACTTGCATGTTAACTTGACTTGAGACGACCGGACTCCTAACTGCAGCTCATGATTTTCTAACAAAATATATATCCAAGCGAATTCCTACAGTGAATTTCATCTTAGCTAAACCATATAACGATAATAATATTAAAATAGACTTCACCCGTTTCATTGCATGGGCATTTTTTCTAGTAACATAAAAATATGAGATTTCGTCCTGTCCAACAAAAAGTATCTCAAGGTACCAAATCGTTTCCGATCGTGGATCTAACAATACTCATTCTACCCAGCTAGATTTAATGATTGAAAACGATTTGATAACGTGAGGTATCGGTACCTCAAGGTAATTTTTGTTGGACCGAAGCAAATCTAAAAATATTATTGAAGTTTTATAGATTTATTTTAATTTCAATAAAATTGAGTTTTATGTACTTTTACATGGACATGCATAAGGGAAGTTTTCTAAATAGTTTTTATTAAATGTGTGTTTAATAATAAGGAATATTTTAAAGGGTGAAAAATGAAGACTTCTAGTTGTGTGGCTTAGTTCTTATATTCACCCGGCCACAGTGCCACCTCTCTCTGCGTGGCACTGGTGCTTAGTGCATAAGCTGCTCTTTCTTTCTCTCCTTAGTCTACGGTCCACACTCCCCACTCGCGCGTTCTCTCTCTTCACTCACCAATGTTGTGGTGGCTATCCACTCACTCTCTCATGAAGATGGGAACTTCTTATGGGATGTGTCAAGTTAAGGTCGGCGCGTGGCTTCTTTGGTATTCGCAATGCTTTTGGTGGTGGTGGTGCTATCTAGGGTACTGCGGGAGCGACGTGCTTCTATGCGGTGAGGTGATGTTGTTGCCATATTAGGCCCTTCACCATGGACGGGCCGTGATGATGTCATCTTGCTCACCCTCGTTTGGATGAAGTGTTTTATGAGATGGATTCATTAAACCCAATGCAGTGTACTAATCATTTTTCTAAAATTTAAATGCAGTGTTGATGAATAAAGACAACATGTGCAGATGTAATTCAATATAGTAGGACAATATACTGCCACATGCGTACATAAGACGTCGCACGTAGCGAATAGAGCGTAGCTTAACTAGTTAGATTTCTTATGGTGGAATCGGTCCATTCGGGTTCAAGTACTAGACTTGACACACAGTTGTGGATCCATGAATTTTTGGTGCTCGTATTTATGGGTAATTATTCTTTCAGTGGTAGGCAATATATCCGTCGATAACGAGAAATCTACGTTGACTTTATCAATCTCAAAATATACCGGTCCAGTCTCAGAGATGATCATAGGGGTAGAGCGTGTGCATGCGCATTTATAGGGGTGATTATATGTGCATTGTGAGCACCTACGTTTGTACTGTGTTCAAACAAAAAAGAAGATGTGTTGCACGCAGAGAGTTTGAGTAAATTGCATCACTGGTACACGAACTTGTTAGGTAGGTGCAATCTAGTGCACGAACTTGTTAAATGCTCATTTTGGTGCATGAACTTGTATGGTGCATGTGGAGAAAGGCGAAAAGAACACTATATGGCTAATCTTATTGATTTAGGGGCTAATTAGAATACTATGTAAACATATATCCGAGAAGGTTTCTATTAGACATACACCTCTTCACTAAAAATAGAATGGATATATAGTGACCGTAGAAAAAGATAAAAAAAACCGAGCAATGATATTAAGGTTTGAAATATATGAAATTTATCATTTCCATGATGAAGGATAGAATAGAGACCAAATTTATAAATATTGCATGTCTTATACATACTCACGTACTATACATCTGCATGTCACATC